CTGTATGGCATATTGAAGTACGGGGAGACTGTATGGCATATTGAGGTACGGGGAGATTGTATGGCATATTGAAGTACGGGGAGACTGTATGGCATATTGAAGTACGGGGAGACTGTATGGCATATTGAAGTACGGGGAGACTGTATGGCATATTGAGGTACGGGGAGACTGTATGGCATATTGAAGTACGGGGAGACTGTATGGCATATTGAAGTACGGGGAGACTGTATGGCATATTGAGGTACGGGGAGATTGTATGGCATATTGAGGTACGGGGAGATTGTATGGCATATTGAGGTACGGGGAGACTATGTGGCATATTGAGGTACGGGGAGATTGTATGTCATATTGAAGTACGGGGAGATTGTATGGCATATTGAGGTACGGGAGACTGTATGGCATATTGAGGTACAGGGGAGACTGTGGCATATTGAGGTACAGACTGTATGATTTGTACATGTCATATTAAGGTACGGGGAGATTGTATGTCATATTGAGGTGCTGGGAGACTGTATGGTATATTGAGGTACGGGGAGACTACATGGCATATTGAAGTACGGGTTTACAAACTAAATGGCATATTGATGTGCGGGGAGACTGTATGGCATATTGGGGTGCGGGGAGACTATATGGCATATTGGTGCCAAATTAAAGGATAGGTCCGCGATAGACCGAGGCGATCACGTGATATCAGAACCCTGGCCCCCTTGACCCTGCAATGAGATTGTGACTTGATTCTAGCAGAATAAGTTGGCGGGGAAACGCTGAATGGTGTCGGGGTTCCCGTCCCGGGGACTCCGGCGGGGGGTGAGGAGTCTAACGACACGTTCCTTCCAAGAAGGTAAACAGGCGCCTGCTTGCGGTGGCCCGTCGTGCCAGTTTAGCAGGCCTTCAAAACATAGGGCAAAAATCACAAACCGATTTGAATAGGATGACAGCCTATTTGTTCTCCTTATTCTTTGTTGATTTCTCACATTTTCAAGCAAAGCAAAAGGCCTGACAAATGGAATCAGATCACTATTACTGCCTATAAAGAACTTCAAATGACCGGGCACTTCGAGGACAAAGCCACGGCTCTTAAAGGCCGGCTACAGAGAAAAGGTCATTATAGGAAACACAGAGATGGTAATAAAGAAAGAATGCTTTTAGTTATTTGTAGATAGCGTGCAATTCCACTTGGGACCTGAGAAGGCTATGCCGAGATAAAAATATGAAATCGAGTATCAATTTAGCGATAAGCATACGATATAAAACCACGCATAAAGACACGACCAGATGGAAAGTTGCTTATGATGTAAAATGAGCCATAAAGTCTCCTTCGCTCGCGATATCAAAATTCGCAGCTATCCCAGAGCCGACGCAATGCATCCTGGGACCACAGGGACTCACTGCGGTCTTATGATTTGATTCCTAAATTAAGCAGGAAATCACATTATGTGCCCTCGTAATTGTCCCATCTGGCTTTAATATAGGGCGATTGAAGCAACATGTTTTGATTGATGTGTGATAGGAGGTAAGGGTCTGAGGTCATGGGGCTAATCTTTCACTTCTGACCCCTTTCAGGCCAAATCCGAGTCGAGTTTGTTAATTACAATTACACGTTGTGAAGCGAGGGATCCGTCTGTCTCAATGTGTCGGATTCCGTCAATTCCCGGCAAATTAATTCTTGTCAGCTGGTCGTGGAGCCAGGGAAGAAAGGCGTTTTGTTTCAACCCCTCCATATTAAACCACTATAAATATTTTAACCCACACAACTTCTCTCATTAAGTGTCTGCTACGTTCTATTCGCAGAACAGGATTAAACTGAAATTACATAAATTACTCCTTATGGTTTCGAGGAATCGCCCAACTGGTGTTACCAATAACTTGACAACAGCAAACGTGTTGTAATAACGCTTCAATATATGAAGTTCTTCAATAATGCCTTCGCCATGTATGTAACGCGAGTCCGGGGGGGATAAATTTGTTAAAATTAGCTATCCGGATTTCATCCCCGTCGTATCATCAAAGCGAAGCTCTTTTCAATTTAGCACAGATCCGTTATAAAAAAAAGATATCTGAATAAACAACATGATGCTGTCGATTAAAGTAACTGAAAAGATATCGTGCTTGCATTAAGTACGAGACATATCCGACAATGCCGGTCTACATAAGCAAGATCGCACAGCTGGAGAGGTCACTGGTGTCCACATAGCTATATTTCTTGATATAAATACATTCACAGAATCACAAATATTGACACAAGTTTTCTTTCAATACCGTTTTCCCAGCGATTATTTTGCGGCCCTGCTTGAAGGAAATCCAAAAGCCCTGGGTCAGCCCCTCGTATGTTATTTATAATTATAGTATTCATATCAAGTCGAATGTAGCAAGTGGACATGGAAACAGAATGTTTGCACGAGATTCGTATTAAATGTACATAGACAAGGTGTTAATATTGCATTCTGGTGTAAGATATGTCGATTAAACCCAATGCAGTTATACTCGAATTGCAAGCTTGGAGTTGGGTATATGTTGGTGCATGTATAAATGATAGCCCCAGGACACAACCTGTCAACATGGATTTGGTCAGGACCAATTGTCTGGCAATTATCACCCAAGTGAAAGGTGCGTTTTGATAGAATTTCTCACAATTTCAAAACATCAACCATTCAGAGCATCTCTGTCCATAAATAGGACAAATTAAAATATAACTAGACGGTCTTTTCAATCAATTAGCGCGAACGGCGCTTTCAGTAAAGATTGACTTCATTAATTAAACACCCTCGTCGTTGTTGGTATAGCTTTTATCCATCGTCGCTTGTGCCTGATTTATATCAACACAGAGAAAGTGACAAAGCCATGTTAATAGATCTGACTGTCTCCCACGGGGCTTCCACAGCAATTAACAAGGATATACTGTACTTTCATTACGTCACCACTCGCTCTCTTAATTACGATAAACAATATCATCCATGTTCACAATGGACGAAATGTGCAAAGAAAAACGGCACAATACACTCAACTGACGACGCGCGTCTTTTGTCGAACGATAAAACATTGTTAAGTAACGTAACGGTATAAGAAAAAACAGATGATCCATAGTTTCATCTTATGCATAATTAATAAGATTCTATCGCAGACCGGAGCCATGGCACTCAGCGATTGAGTTCAGTCCATTGGTTTATAACCGTTTATAGATCTTAAGTCTTTTTGTATGGATAATGCAAGACAACTGATGTCTCCCCCAACATGGGCCTTCATCAAACTTTCATCTTAATCTCACTTTTCTGCGCAAATTCTTATTGGAACATGAAATCAAATGAACAATGGACGAATGTGAAGCAAATAGTTTATTCTCTCAATCGCTTCACGAGGCTTGATTTCCCGCTCCCTGGGCACCGATATACAGAAATCAAGTGAATTTTTAATGAGCTCAAGAAGAACTAACTTTAAGGAGAACCAACCACTGGCTTTTAGAAATAAAAAGGAAAAGAGACAAAGTCTTTCTGGCGACATGAACCAAAGAGCCATTTAGTCGGTGATCGATAGTATTGTACGGATTGAGCTTCGACTTATTCACTGAAGTGATCAAGGCGAATACAATCACCGGAGATTCTCGTGGCTCTACCCATGCTACACAATTAATCGATATTATATACCTCGAGCGAAACGTAGATATGACAATCAAATGCCTGTAAATCGTGGATCAAACAACCACAGTAAAATGTAGGCATGTTCAACCTTTGATATATACGATTTCAAGACAAACTAATTTATGAGTGTATCAACTTTAATTTCCCCCGGAAGATAGGAACAATTTTAACTTACATATCTGGTTTTATTAATACAAATCACTTTCGTTGTTTATTAGTTTCACTATATTACTTCTGCGATAGAAAGAAGGGTTATCTTACAACTTGAAAGTACACAAATCTTTACGTCAACGCAACACGGCTTATTTACCTTATCAGCAAAAAGCGCAGCTGCATACGACTGTGTTTTTTTCTCTACCACTGAGACGATGCTATTCTAATTTCACGAGGTTGAACATGGTATATATTTTGAACTAATATTTTTTTGTTTATAACATTAAAATTCATAATCTGAAATATACATATGCGGCTATCGCTGTATGTATTTTGGGTACAATTATCATTTGACAACGTCTTTTTAGAGAATTACAACAGTGAATTTCTTCAACATGTAATATTGTAAAATGACCATGAGGATATATGTATATTTGTTTATTTATTGATAATACGTCTACTTACGGACACGTACAACTTTTCATTTAATTAATACAACTGATGACAGTTATATGAAGTTTGTTGATTTGAAGAGAGGATGCTGTTAAATTATCCATATATTGACATCAATAATTGCAATTTTGGGTGAAAATGTTCTTTGAAATGGATTTACTTTTATCGCGTTCACCTACACTTTTCACATGACTGACACAAATTGTAGGGAATTAAAACAGTGCGAAATACACATTTTAAAAGGCAGAAGCCCATATTATGATAACTTAAAGCCCTTTATCAAATGATTAAGAGGATTTATATGCGTGTCTAGTGTTTAACAAAAATGATATATTATATGATGATTGTGGTGTAATACTTGACCGAAACATCACCAATTATCATGAAAAGTAACCAATCATATGAGTTTATATTTCGATGTGTGATCAAATATATTGTATAAATATTTCGTGTAAAACGTTAGGCTGTATATACTGTGCAGCTATAAGCAAGCTATCTGGGTGGCTGACTTGATAGACATGGGAGATTACTGCGATTATGATAAGAAAAATAATTTTCTGATATCACAGCGATAAGAAATAATAATTCGTAATATAAAAGATATAGTTCGGTATAAGAAAATATGGAAAATGCAGGCGTACCGTGCAAATTGTAAATACCTGTCAACTTATTGAACATTGAAGTCGAACTTCTTTACTGTTAATGTGACAATTTGAGGTTTTAAAAGATTGACAATAAAAAGATCCGTACCGCACTGACCTGTTTGAACTGCTCTTCGAAGGTCCAGTGATGGGTCCGACCCTCACCCACATCGGGAGGGGTGTGCATCCCCCCAACAGAGGGAGGCTGGGTGTTCCTTGGGAATCTGTCGGGGGAGGTCTGGGCTGTGAACGGACTGTGATTCTGTGCATGTATGGAGTGGGTTTCCAGTTTGATGTCCCGTGGGGACGAGGCATGGGCCGGGTGGGGGTGATGAAGACTGTGATGAGGGTGTACTACTCGGAAATCATCAGTATGTTTGGTACGAAGTTCCTGCTCTCGCTGTCTCATGCGTTCCTGAGCCAAACGAAGTTCTTTTTCTCGTGCTCTCAACTCCTCCTGGTGCCTCGATAAAGCTTCTTCATGAGCTTTCAGTTCTCTTTCAATTTCTTCCCTTTCCTCTCTCTCTTGTTGCTTCAATTTTTCATATAATTCCCTGTCAGCAGGATCGAGTTTTTCAGCACTCAACTCATTTTCTTCACCATTCTCACTGAAGTTGTCGGACTCAGGATCAGTGCATGGGGTCTGCAAATCTTCAGTGGACTGAGAGAAACAAACACAAAATTAGTAAATTACAAGTGTTAACAAATAAACTGCAACAGACACAACTTAAGTTTTTACTAAAATACAATTACTAAAAGAAGGCATGGCCACTAAGTCATTTAATCTTTAAAAACAAAACAAAATCATTCAACGTTTATCAGTATATTCAAACATATACACATTTCTTAGATGACATATAACACCAATGGCAAAAAACAATATTAATTCTAATTAAAAAAATGTTTTTCTTATAAAACTTAAGTCCAAGTATAAGGTATTTAAAAAGAATAATAATGGCACAAACTTTCGTTGAAAGCAAGTAAAAAGTTATTAAAGTAATGCACAACTAAACTTTCCTTTCTTTTACAATATAGGTGTAACACAATGACATCCATACATTTAAAGAAACGCGACTTAATTGTGAGAAAAGTCCAAAAAGCGAATATCCTGACATAAAAACCTAGCAGACGAATTTTGACAGCGGCCTCAGAAGTCACGCTGTAACTTACCATGTTTTCTTCTGTGTTGTTCTCGGGCTGTGACATAACTGCTTGAGTCTGTTTTCCAACAGACAGTTTCTAACACGGCTAAGAGCGTCCTTTCACACACAACTCGTCGAAGGTGCTTGGGGCAATTTTGGTAGCGCACTTTATCAAATAATCCTATCCCGATAGCGAATTAATTTATGCAGAAGTTTAGTCACGTGAACCTCTCGACAAATGCCGACCAAGCAGCGAAGATTTCCGATTAGTCCATCGCCAACACTAGACTAGACGCCTGTCTAACGATATTTCTGAAATGCGCAGGGGAGGACGCGCGCTGTTATTCTGATACCAGTTTATCTCAAACCAAAAGAGGATATTACTGTTTAAAAACGTCGGTGACATAACCTACTATTTAATTGATATATAATGTTTCACATAAAATATATATGATGACAATATACTAATTAGGTATTTCCATTTGTGTTCAAATACTTTCCGTTTGAGAATACTCACATTCAGCAGTGGATCGAGATTATTCAAGATGGCGACCTCTTACAAGAAGACATCCATCAAAACATATCCACGTATTACTGAAAAAGAAACCTCTGATAACATATATTGGAAGCAGTTAGAGGTATTGATTTCCCACCAACCCCATTGAAACGATATATCCCGTTATTCACCCTTACAAGTGTTGTATGTCAGTAAAAACATATGTTTCAGCAGCCGGTCCCTGTACCCACGTGGTTTTGTTTACATGAAATTGACAATTTGTTTTCGTGTGTATCAACACGCAAACTTCAAAATATGTGTAAACAAAATCTTTTTCACCATCTTGTTATTTCTTTCACATTTCAGAACATGCTACATAACTTTTGAAGTACCTGTTATCATTTTGAAAAATAAAATCCATAGATCATTAATGAAATGAGTCTGCTATAAAATCATTGACGTGAAAGACTACTTTCAGTTGTTGTTTACTGTTCGGAGACGTTCGGCATCACTATTTCTTATCAAAATAACCATTTATACATTTAGATAGATGTTGCTTCTCGGAATATAACCACTGACAGTTCCAACTTAAGTTAATATGAAACTGACTAAACAAATTCATCATCATTTAGCATATAGATGTTTTTTAACTATAGACTTGTGTCAGCACCATTTCCCAGGTGACCTCTTAGCAAGGAAACTCCAGGTCATGTTTTATTCTAGTCCAGGAAATGCTTGTCAGTATGTATTGTGATAATATCATTAATTTATGTATGCCTGTTTCTGACACTGTTATAGAGATGTTTAGATGCAGTGTCTTAATGCCTTTACACACATCAGTTCAGGAGATATCATTTCTTACCATACTTATTTTTACAGTTTTTTTTTATAAACATACATGGAATATGTTTACACTCAACACATTGTCCTTAATGAACCAGTAGACCGCCTCTGTGGTGTAGTGGTTAGAGTGTCCGCCCAGAGAGCGGAAGGTCGCGGGTTTGATCCCCGACCGCGTCATACCAAAAGACGTTAAAATATGGTACTTGTTGGTCCCTGCCTGGCGCTCTGCATTAATGGGTACAAGAAGGACTGGTCGGCTCGGAGTCAGTATAATGTGTCTGAGTGGGGTATTCATGCTTCACTGCGGCATGGTATCTCAGAGGGCTAGCACTATAAAACCAGCTTCAGTCTGGGCTAGTACAAGCAGCCGCACATACACACGCATGCACATCGTCATATGAGCGAAATATTCTCAAGCACGATGTTAAACCCAATTTCACCTCACCTCACCTAATGAACCAGTACTGTTCAGTTATGGTTATCATAAAGTCATTTATTAAAAATGTAAACACTGAGCCTGATTCCTTTTGACTTCAATATTTACATGTCTTGCTCAAATTAATTGACCATTTTTGAACTAGCTACACATTTTTTTAGCCAAAACAAATGCTTTTTTTAAAAAACCGTTTGGTTTATAACTGTTGTTGTCTGACTAAATTAGTGTAAAGACGCTATATTTGACTATTTTGATAAGGTTTGTAACCAGAAGTAATATGCTAGAGTTCATGTAGTTTTGAAATTCCCTTCACATGTCCACCGACAGTGTATTGTTGTGGGGGCATGGATGACCATCTTAGGTGGTGGAATGTTGCTGCCCAGAGTTATGTCCCTTGCACTTCCCAGAATCCTATGATTTTGGGTTTGAATCATATTTTACCTGATTATGTTTCTTGGTTTGTCAGCATCATATCTGTCCTCGTAAGTTTAACCAAATTGGTGAAAGTCGGAGAAATGCACCACATTACTATTTCCTTATAATTACTTACATACTCATACTCTGAGACTGCATCAAGTGAATGCATCGCTGTTTTTTGTCAGTGAGGCTGATTTACTGACAATATGTCAATCAATAATACATTTACTTTAAGCTTCATCAACTAATAACCTTTACTGAAGCATGCATGATTACAGTTCAGTCAGGTTCAGTATGTGGAATGAAAGAAATGACCGTTAAATCTTTCTGGTTTGTTTTCTGATGGGAGTTAAAATTGATATTGATTTTATTTGTCACCAAAGAGTTACTCATTGCAGCACAACATTCCTCAAGTATAATTGTTTTGATGCTGTTGGGTAATTCTACCATGGCATTCCGGTCCTTCACATGGTTGTGTCATCACTGAAAATAATTAACATAAACCTTGTCAGTTTGAACGCCGAACTCTGTTTTTGGTGGTAGTTTGTTTGTTGCTCAGACTTGTCCCATCTATATGACAACTATATGTAGATGTTTGAGTTAGAAACAGAGAACTGTTGGGAACATGACTGATATGAGTAATGTGACATGTCATCGGGCAGGACGATGTGGCGCCAGAGTGACCATGCTGACCAGTCATCACATCTAGTTGCCTGTTGTGACAATACATAGGATGCCAGGGATGTATACAAACCCTAATTATGCAGATCTTTGTTGAAACGCTGAACACATGGTAATTGTCATTGAGCACTGTGTTCTCCGGTTAAGTCTAGTCCTAGGTTTAGGCGTAAAAAAAAAATGTTGTGGTTCCGATTGCCCAACTGACCCATGAATTCTGGTGCCGATCCTATTTTTTTTAAGCGGTATAAATAAAATAAGCATTCAGATACCATTATTTTTCCCAGCATTCATGGACATCAGTCATTCTGATAGAGAAAGTCGACATGATGGCGACAAGCTTGATTAAATAAACAATTACACATTGATAAATGTGTTATTAGTTTGTACTTTACTTCTAAAAAAATATGTACAAAAAATAAAATAAGCCTACCCTAAATTTTAAAGAGCTGTAATTGGAACCGCAACATATTTTAAAATTTGCCTTAACTGTGTTTTTCTGTTGGAACTGTGCACATCAACCCATGGATCTCCCATGGTGTGAGGATGCACAAGGGAAGATCAGCTGGCTGATTTAGTGACCTACAGCCAAAACAATGTAGGGCCGTTGTAGTTCGTGATGGAAGAACTTCATTGTTACCATATTTACAGAAGTAGCTGTAAAATGCAGTCAACTCAGTAATCCCCCCTTTCGACAATGGCTTAAATATCTTTTCAATCTGTGTTGGCCATCTACATTATGTTGAAAGTTGAATAATTTTGATATTACATGTATTAACATGGGTGATGGAGGATTTTCGTTTGTCTTGAACCAGCTGTAGATGAGAAAGCAATTGTTGGTTGTGCCACACTGTGACTTCATTTGTTTTCCTGGGAAAGGAAGACACTTCATTTGTTCTGTTTCATTATTTTTCATGCATTAACAAAAATCATAGTTTTATCAGTATTCACTCAGGATGCTTTTATTGTGACTGGTTCTGTTCTTAGGTTCCAGTGACCAAGAAGGAATATGGTGCCATCACGGACATTGATTTCAGCCCCACAGAGCCATACAACTACGCTGTCACCAACTCAACACGGGTGAGTCTATCGACACTGGTTACCAGTCCATGACTACTTGTGTGATCTCATGCTGATGGAGGGGCAGTGGGGTAGCCAAGTGGCTAAAGTGTTCGCTCGTCACGCTGAAGACCTGGGTTCGATTCCCCACATGGGTACAATGTGTGAAGCCCATTTCTGGTGTTCCCCGCCATGATATTGCTGGAATATTGCTAAAAGCGGCGTAAAATCAAACTCACTCACTCATGCTGATGGAGCTGTTTTAAGGTTTCCTTAGATGTATCTTCCTTCTGCAATGAGGTCAAGTGTATTAGGTCAAGGTCACTACTACACATTTATTTAGCTCACCTAAACCTTTGAGTCAGCAAGGACATGCTGAAGTTTAGGAGCTAATGTAGTGGCCTGTGTGTCTGGTATCTGCCATGAGTTTTGTGCCCTTCATCTGTGTTCTCCTTGGAAACTACAGAACCAGTGAAGCTGGTTCTGACCAATGAAGACATCGGTATTTTTCAAGGTCAATCTTACTTCCAATATGGCCAGCACAAAAGTAGGGCTCAACATATATATGTTTCCTTATATTGCATTAGCTACGATTGAGGAATTGATATTGTATTGATATTATTTGGTTTGGACCATGCTCTTAAATTCTCTTAAAATATATTTCACCATCACCTACTCATAAACCAAAGGACCAATGAAACAGAAGTGTTTCATGCTTGTTCCAACGAAAGATGATGCTCTTGCATTAACCAGATCCATCCATCCACATATCCATAAATTTGTAATAAACAAGTGTTTGAGTCACAGTATCTTTTTATATCATGCTCTGTTAACTGCAACACATGGAGCCATTTGTGTGTTGACATGGTGCAACATGGTGTCAGGTAAAAAACAGTTACAGTTCATTAAGACAGTCTATTTCCTGTAATTTAATCGTCAATTATCTGTTTCACATTACAAGGCTAAATTTCATCTAACAATGAAATGTTTATTCAACAGTGTTTGATACAGGCCTTTCCAACACTTGTTGATGTATGAAAACTCAGTGGGCATTGATTTCATGATCACCAGTTAGATATCGCATGTTAGGTCACATGCACAACTGATGTGGGATGTCTCAAGTATAATTTTATTATTGGTTACAGTTTTTTATCCCACCGTATGTAATGCGGTGGGATATAGTCGTCCGTCCGCCTGTCCATCAGCGGTGCCTTTTGCTATTTACAGATTATTGTCATTTTTATTTTTCTCGGTTTCCATGGAAACGTTTTGGACTTAGTCTTAAAGAAGGGTGGGCTTTGTTTCCGGAGCATAACTAAAAAAACGTTCAATATTTTTCAACAGGACTTGGTAGATATATCAAACAGAACCTTAAGTGGTGCCTTTTGCTATTTGCAGATTTTGGGCATTTTTATTTTTCTTGGTTTCCATGGAAACGATTCGGACTTAGTCCCAAAAGTGAGGGGTGGGTTTAGTTTCCGGAGCATAACTCAAGAACCGTTCAATATTTTTCAACAAGACTTGGTAGATATATCAAACAGAACCTTAAGTGTTGCCTTTTGCTATTTGCAGATTTTGGGCATTTTTATTTTTTCCGGTTTCCATGGAAACGATTCGGACTTAGTCCCAAAAGTGAGGGGTAGGTTTCGTTTCCGGAGCATAACTCAAGAACCGTTCAATATTTTTCAACAAGACTGGGGAGATATATCAAACAGAACCTTAAGTGGTGCCTTTTGCTATTTGCAGATTTTGGGCATTTTTATTTTTCCCGGTTTCCATGGAAACAATTCGGACTTAGTCCCAAATGGAGGGGTGGGTTTCGTTTCCGGAGCACAACTCAAAAACTTCTTAATATTTTTCAGCAAAACTTGGCAGATATGTGAGTCAGATCTTGAAGTGGTGCCTTTTGCTATTTGCAGATATTTGTCATTTATGTTTTCCATGATTTCCATAGAACGATTTGCACTTAGTCTAAAATAAAAGCTAGACTTTAAGTAACTGTCAGATGATTTGTTCTTTCAAAGATGTGGGGGCCGGGGGGATATGTCATCTTCCGATGACTCTTGTTATTACTTGGTTAAAGTAGTTTATTTCAGTACAAAAATATGAATATATACATATTTATAGAAATGCATTAATTATGTAATTTGTAAATGAAATACATGTAAATTTAACTGTTATGCCAGATTTTATTGTAATATTTTTCCATATCAGCTGACTGTGCAATTGTAATCACGGCAAGGCTCATTTGAACTATGTTTGCAGAATATCTGTAGTATGAACAAGGAACTCACAAACAATGGAGTTTTACATCCAGACATAGTTCTTGGAACAGTCACTGTGAATGAAATGTGAAGTTTTGCTGTCAAACTGTTAATCTCGTCCTTTGTTGATATGTGACCCTGTGTATAAAGCTTCAAACCCCACTAATTCTAGATGCGAAATACAGTATTTCTCCTCAATTTCAACATGTTGTTCAATGCACCATGACATATGCTTTGACGTTTGCCTCCCACAACACTACAGGCTTGCCTCCCACAACACTTCAGGCCTGCCTCCCACAACACTTCAGGCTTGCCTCCTACAACACTTCAGGCTTGCCTCCCTACAACACTTCAGGCTTGCCTCCCTCCACAACACTTCAGGCTTGCCTCCTCCAACACTTCAGGCTTGCCTCCCACAACACTTCAGGCTTGCCTTCCACAACACTTCAGGCTTGCCTCCCTACAACACTTCAGGCTTGCCTCCCTACAACACTTCAGGCTTGCCTCCCACAACACTTCACTTCAGGCTTGCCTCTGCAACCTACAACACTTCAGGCTTGCCTCCCTACAACACTTCAGGCTTGCCTTCCACAACACTTCAGGCTTGCCTCCCACAACACTTCAGGCTTGCCTCCACAACACTTCAGGCTTGCCTCCCTCCAACACTTCAGGCTTGCCTCCCTACAACACTTCAGGCTTGCCTCCCTACAACACTTCAGGCTTGCCTCCCACAACACTTCAGGCTTGCCTCCCACAACACTTCAGGCTTGCCTCCCTACAACACTTCAGGCTTGCCTCCCTACAACACTTCAGGCTTGCCTCCCACAACACTTCAGGCTTGCCTCCTCCAACACTTCAGGCTTGCCTACCTACAACACTTCAGGCTTGCCTACCTACAACACTTCAGGCTTGCCTCCCACAACACTTCAGGCCTGCCTCCCACAACACTTCAGGCCTGCCTCCCACAACACTTCAGGCTTGCCTCCCTCCAACACTTCAGGCTTGCCTTCCACAACACTTCAGGCTTGCCTCCCACAACACTTCAGGCTTGCCTCCCACAACACTTCAGGCTTGCCTCCCTACAACACTTCAGGCTTGCCTCCCTACAACACTTCAGGCTTGCCTCCCACAACACTTCAGGCTTGCCTCCCACAACACTTCAGGCTTGCCTCCCTACAACACTTCAGGCTTGCCTCCCTACAACACTTCAGGCTTGCCTCCCACAACACTTCAGGCTTGCCTCCCCACAACAACACTCAGGCTTGCCTCCCTACAACACTTCAGGCTTGCCTTCCACAACACTTCAGGCTTGCCTCCCTCCAACACTTCAGGCTTGCCTGCCTTACAACACTTCCAGGCTTGCCTCCTCCAACACTTCAGGCTTGCCTCCCTACAACACTTCAGGCTTCTCCTACAACACTTCAGGCTTGCCTCCCACAACACTTCAGGCTTGCCTCCCTCCAACACTTCAGGCTTGGCTTGCCTCCTCCAACACTCCAGGCTTGCCTCCCTCCAACACTTCAGGCTTGCCTCCCACAACACTTCAGGCTTGCCTCTCCCACAACACTTCAGGCTTGCCTTCCACTACAACACTTCAGGCTTGCCTCCCACAACACTTCAGGCTTGCCTCCCACAACACTTCAGGCTTGCCTCCCACAACACTTCAGGCTTGCCTCCCACAACACTTCAGGGCTTGCCTCCCACAACAACACTTCAGGCTTGCCTCCCACAACACTTCAGGCTTGCCTCCCACAACACTTCAGGCTTGCCTCCCTACAACACTTCAGGCTTGCCTCCCACAACACTTCAGGCTTGCCTCCCACAACACTTCAGGCTTGCCTCCCCACAACACTTCAGGCTTGCCTCCCACAACACTTCAGGCTTGCCTCCCTACAACACTTCAGGCTTGCCTCCCACAACACTTCAGGCTTGCCTCCCCTACAACACTTCAGGCTTGCCTCCCCACAACACTTCAGGCTTGCCTCCCACAACACTTCAGGCTTGCCTCCAACACAACACTTCAGGCTTGCCTCCCCACAACACTTCAGGCTTGCCTCCCACAACACTTCAGGCTTGCCTCCCACAACACTTCAGGCTTGCCTCCCCTTCCACAACACTTCAGGCTTGCCTCCCTACAACACTTCAGGCTTGCCTCCCACAACACTTCAGGCTTGCCTCCCACAACACTTCAGGCTTGCCTCCCACAACAACACTTCAGGCTTGCCTTCCACAACACTTCAGGCTTGCCTTCCACAACACTTCAGGCTTGCTTGGCTTGCCTCCCTACAACACTTCAGGCTTGCCTTCCACAACACTTCAGGCTTGCCTCCTTCAACACTTCAGGCTTGCCTTCCACAACACTTCAGGCTTGCCTCCCACAACACTTCAGGCTTGCCTTCCACAACACTTCAGGCTTGCCTGCCACAACAACACTTCAGGCTTGCCTTCCACAACACTTCAGGCTTGCCTTCCACAACACTTCAGGCTTGCCTACCTACAACACTTCAGGCTTGCCTCCTACAACACTTCAGGCTTGCCTCCCACAACACTTCAGGCTTGCCTCCCACAACACTTCAGGCTTGCCTCCCACAACACTTCAGGCTTGCCTCCTCACAACACTTCAGGCTTGCCTCCCACAACACTTCAGGCTTGCCTCCCACAACACACTTCAGGCTTGCCTTCCACAACACTTCAGGCTTGCCTTCCTACAACAACACTTCCACAACACTTCAGGCTTGCCTTCCACAACACTTCAGG